AATAAAATATAATGGTACAATAAATAAATCTTTTTCTGCTTTTCACTATTACTTGTTTCTTTAATTGAGCTACTGAGGATGATGTCTTAGCCTAGGTAGACTGGTTAGGGCTGCCAAGGCTCAGGTTCCGATTCTGACAACTCCAGTAGCAAAATTATATCACAGTCCCCAGGCAGTACTCGAATCCTTGAAAGCAGAGCTCCTACACTGGCTTCCTTGGAGCCTCTATCACATCTTGAAGATGTTGAACTGCCAGGACAGTCAGCTGATTGTCACCCAGGACTTGGCAAGAGGAAAGTAGAGCCATGTAGAGGGCAGACCCTGAGGCCTCCAGGAAGTGAGCAATGACAGCACTCCTGGAGAGCTCAGCACCTGCTGGCTGGGGCTGCATGCAGCCTGTGGGAGTGGATGTGCCTGAGACAGGGGACAAAGTCCTGTAATAAATTACGTGTGCCCACAGCACTCAGCCATTTCCTCTCAGGGCCCTTCCGCCTCGCCTTCTGTCCTTACTCTCTCACACTGCCAGGACCCTGATACTGCCTCCTCTCCTGGCCCTTTCAGGATAGAGGGGAAGGTAGTCAGCTGGACCCCAGACTCTGTCCTGACAAGGTAAGGGAAGCTCTGAAGTGTGTGGAAGGACCGGAGGAGTGGCTCCAGGTAGGAAGGTAGTCTAGAGGCACAGGCCTGGGAACAAGGTGGGGCAGGCCTATGGAGTGGAGGACTGGGGATGTCCTTCCAGACTTAGGAAACCAGAAACCTCAGTCCAAGACTTGGTCTGTTGGGCAGCAGGCTTACCTAGGAAGCTCTCTCTTATGAGAAGACATTATTCATGGGAGTGGCTGGTGCTGCCTCCCTCCAGCCCTTTCTCACAGATGGAGGGCTTCATATGGAATATAGAAGTACTGAGGACAGCCCAGGTACCATTCAAGGCCCTGTTGTGTCATATGAGGAGGTTCATTGTGTCCTTAAAACACTGGTGATACTGCTTTTGTTTTATGAGGCCTGGGGCTGAGGCACCTCAGCAGGAAGCAAAGCTGAACTTGTCTTCTACTTGGGTTTATCCAATCAATCCACAGATAAGGGATAACTCTATTTAGTCACCTCTGAGAGACTGGGCACTGGTATGAGGTGAGACAGGCAGTCCTTGGCCTCAAAGCCTCCTCAGGATGTGATGGTTTGGTCACTGGAGGAATGAGATAGCTAGAAAGGGATGCATGGCCATAAGCACCTGGGCTGCTGGCATGGTGTACACCTCTCCCCATTCACAGAGGAGGAAATGTGGGACCCAGAAGTCAGGAGTGACCAGCTGAGGTCTGGTAGCTGGTGTGGTTGTGGGAGTCTCCTAAGTTGGGTGCATGTGTTTCCCATGAGTAGCCCCCCTCACCTCAGGATCTATTTTCTATCTGTAAACTTCAATTTTGTTCTAATTCATAGACCTCTGAACTCTGTTAAGGATTGTAGTTGGAAGAAAACCAAAGCTCTGAGTGCACCTCTGAAACACACTTGCACTTCTTTTTTTTTTTTCTTCTTCTTTTGTCTTTTCGAGATAGGGTCTCCCTGTAGCCCCAGCTGGCCTGGTACTTGCTATGTAGACCAGGCTGACCTCAATCTCACAGATATCAGCCTGATTAAAGGGAGGGATTAAAGGCTTGTGCCAACTTATAGGTAAACTATTTTTTTAAAGACTTATTTTATTTATGTGCTTATGTATGTGAACATGTGTAAGTGTTCCCATAGAGGCCAGAAGAGGCCATCAGATCCCCTGGAGCTGGAGTTACAGACAATTGTGAGTCACCAATGTGGGTTTTGGGAACCAAACTTCTGTTCTTTGCAAAATCAGCAAGTTCTCTTACCTGCTGAGCCATCTTTCCAGCCCCAACAGGCAAAATTTTGTTAAGAACCTGAACACAGGAGATAGCTCAGTGGGTAAAGTGCTTGCATTGTAAACACAAAGGCCTGAGTGTGATTCCCAGAACTCTTGTAAAATGTTGGACATGATAGTGTACTTATTTGTATTCTTGGTGCTGGAGAGGTAGCAGCAGATGAGTCCTTAGAGTCCTAAGACCAGCCAGCCTAGCTGAATCATCAAGTTCTAGGTAGGTGGCACCTGAGGAATGACAGCCAGGCCTGGCCTCTGGGCTCCAAATGGGCACACATTGACCTGTATACACATATACACATACAGCCACAAACACACACATACACACACACACACACACACACACACACACACATACACACACATTCTCAAGAGCTCCCAGCTCAATAGCTCTTGGGACAGGAAGCCTCCTGGTACCCTTGGACCTTCCGGGCCCCCTGCTACCTGTTCCTCAGGGAACACTTCTTAATGGACTGCTGTACTTGGCTTCAGAATGGAGCTCTGCTGAGAGAGCACAGAAGACAGGGCTCCACAATGTGGCTTATGATGACTCTTGCTTCCCTGTTCTCAGTTAGATAAAATCATTTGTCTGAGGGCACTAGACTATGATGTCCTTGAAGGAAAGGCTGGATTTCCTTGGGATTTTCCCATCTCTGTCCCCAGCCAGGGCTACTGGAGAGTTGGCCAAGTGAGTGAATAGAGTGGATTGTGGCAGAAGTCACACTAAGGGTAGAGTCAAGTGTTCTAATTCATTTTCATTTTATCTTTTAAATATTTGTGTGTGCACGCACATGCTTACATGTGCAGGTACACTTGTATGCACCCGCATGTGGAGGTCAGAGATCAATCTCAGGAACTGTCCCTTGGGTGCTAACCACTTTGTTTTGGGAGACAGGGTTACTCACTCAACCAAGTAGGCTAAACTAGTTGAGCCCAGGGGTCCATCTGTCTTTTCCTCTTCAGTGCAGATTACAAGCACCCATTACCACACCTGGCTTTTTTACGTGGGTTCTGGGCTTTGAACTCAGATTCTCATGCTTGCACAGCAAGCACTTTACTAACTGAGCCATTTCCATAGCTCCCAATGCTACTTTACACTATTGTCTACCTCCCCAGTTAATCAAACCATGTGGGTCATGTTCCTTCACCACTGGCTGCTGAGGTGAAACTGTTCAAAGGAAAAGTGACCATTGAACACCAGGGGCATAAAACTCAGGACAACAAGAGATCAAAGGACATCAGGAAGCTGAGGATGGGGCCTGAGGGGGGAAAAGAGAAGTGGGCATTGAAGGAGAGGATGGCTTGTGATGGTCATAGAGGAGAAGGAAATGGCATCCACAAAGATGCCAAGCAGAGAAAGGACTAGTTCAGCTTGAGCACTCGGGACCTGGCAGGAACCGAGCAGGTATAGAGAGCAGTGGGTGGTGCACTCTTACTCTTCGTTTGTTTTCTGTTGCTCAGAACACAATGACACAGGCAAACTGTAAAGAAAAGAGGCTTATTATGGCTTATGAGGCTGGTCTAAGGTCAAAAGGCTGTATCTGGTAATACAGGCAGAGGCCTGAGGTGACACAGGCATCACATGGCAAAAGTGAAGAACAAATGTCCTCTGATCGCTTCTTCTTTGTTTTATTTTTATTAATTTTAAGTTTATTCTCATTTTTATTTGTATGTGTGTATATGTGTATGTATGTTGTATGTCATGTGTGTGGGTGCCCATGGAGGTCAAAAGAGGTCTTCAGATCCCCTGGAGCTAGAGTTACAGGCGATTGTGAGCCACCCAATGCAGGAACTGGGAACCAAACTCAGGTCCTCTGGAAAAACAGTATGCACTCTTAACTGCCTAACCATTTCTCCAGCCCTCCTTCTCCTCCTCCTCCTCCTCTTTTTTGATTTATTTATTTTTATTTTTTATGTGTATGAGTATTAGCCTGCATGTGTGTAAGTGCACTTATGTTGTGCAATGCCTGCAGAGGACAGAAGAGGGGGTCAGATCCCCTGGAACTGGATGGTCGTTAGCCACCATGTGGGTGCTGGGGTTCAAACCAGGTCTTCTGCAAGAACAGCCAGTGCTCTTAACCAGTGAGCCATCTTTCCAGCCCTCCCCCTCCCCCCCTCAAAAATCTTGTGTCTGTATTTGTGTACAGGCTCCTGTGTTGCCACCATTACCATGTAGAGGTCAGAGGATACCATGGGTGTCATTCCTCGCCCTCCATTTTGCCAAGACAGTCTTCTGTTCAGCACTGCATGCACTAAGCTACCTGGATCGTGAGCTTCTAGGGATCCTCCTGTCTCCACCTGCAATTTCACCATAAGGGCACTGGGATTACAGACTCGCACTGCTGAATCCAGCTTTGTGTGGTTCTAGGGATCTAAGTCCTCCTACCTTCATGACAAGCCATCTCCCCAGCCCCTACTTCCTCTTCCTTTTTTAATATTTTTGTATGTATGTGGTATGCATGCATATGTGTATGTGTGTTCACATGCTTGTAGGCACATGTGTGTGCACACGCACATGGAGGCCGGAGGTAGACATTGGGTATTGTCCTTATCTCTTTCCACCTAAAGTATATTGAGGCAGGTACTCTCGCTGGAACCTGGAGCTCACTGATTCAGCTAGCCTAGCTAGTTAGCTTGCTCTGGGGAATCCCATCTCTGCCTCCTACACACTGGGGTTACAGGTGAGCTGCTCGGTCTGTCTGGCTTCTACGTGAGTTCTGAGGATCTGATTTCCAGTCTTCATACTTATGGGGCAAATGTTTTGTCTGCTGAGTCATCTTCTCAGCCCCCCACTTCCTTGTCTTATGCCACCAGGATTCAGTTATCAGAGCTTCTGCTGTGATGTCTTCACTTAATCCTCCAATCCGCTCCCAAAGGCCTACCTAATTTTAGACACCACAGATAAAGTTTACATCCTCTCAGTACCTGACAATAGGACTTAAATTTCAACACTAGTTTCAAAAAAGATAAATTGCATTCAAAGCATGGCAAATATGTTCTCCTTTTTTTTAAAAAATATATTTTATTTATTTTTTTTAGTTTATGTGTATGAATGTATTGCCTGCATGTAGATAAATGCACCTGTGTCGTGCAATGCCCGTTGAGGACAGAAAAGGCCATCAGATCCCCTGGAACTGGAGTTATGGACAGTTGTTAGGTGCCATGTGGGTGCTGGGATTCGAACCTGGGCCTTCTGCAAGAACAACCAGTGTTCTTAACCCCTGAGCCATCTCTCCAGCCCCAACTTTCTCCTTTTTTGTGTGACAAGGTCTCACTATATAGCCCCCGTTGACCTGGAACTCATGTGTAGATGAAGCTAGCTTCAAACCTCAAGGCACTCCTCTTGCCTTAGTCTTCTGGGAGCTGGAATTACAGGCATGAGCTATCAACCTGGTGGAATGTTTTCTTCTTTACTACCCAGAATAGTAGCCATGAGCCACATATAGCTGCTGAGGACCTAGTGTGACTGGTACACCTGAGGAGCTGAGTCTAAGCTGTAACTACGGTTTAACATATATATATATATATGCACATGAAACTAGTGGCTGCCATCTTGGACAGTGCAGCCCTACAGGGTTTTGCATCTGAGGAGTTGGGGAAGAATAAGCAAGGACTTTGGAGCCAATCTTAGATTCTAATCTGACTGAGTTACCTCCCCACAGTGGGACCTTGAGCTTTAGCTTCCTCATCTGTCAGATGTCATCACTTTCCTTGCAAGGCCATGTACAGA